AAAAAAAAAAAAAAACAATACTTTTAACAACAGGAAGAACTCCCAGTAGTGAGAATTTCAGGATTAAGGAAGATGAGAATACGGTTACCATGACTACAATACCACAACACACCCCAAATTCATGATGGTAAATTGTAGTTCCTCCCTATTTATCCATGAGGAAGCAATATAAAACCCTGGGAGAAAATCATGGTCTAATGGACAAGGAAGGAAATAAATCAAGTACAACCTCAATCCAAACAGCATTTATGCAACCCTCAGAAACACTTTCCAAATCTTAACTAATCCCTGGGCAGAGAAGTAGACAACACTGCTACATGTGTTTCAGACACAAAATATGTATATGTCCAAAATGAGATAATAAGATCCATAAAAACCCAGATTCAAACTCCCAGTCTGAAAAATTTATAGGTGGTTTCTCAATCCAAATTAACCTCTATTCCTTTCTCTCTTAGATTTAGTAGACAGATGAAAAACATGTGAGCTCCATAAAAAGAAGTCAGGTAAATTAACAACCACTTAAAACAATACCCAAAGATTGTTATTGGGCTACCAAAAGACTCCATCAAAAAACTGTCTGAACTAATACATGAATTCATCTAAGTCACAGAATATAAAATCAATGTACAGAAATCTGCTGCATTTCTATACACCAATAACAAAGCAGCAGAAAAAGAAATCAAGGAATTAATCCCATTTGCAATGGCACTAAAACCAATAAGATACCCAGGAATAAACCTAACTAAAGAAGTACAAAATCCGGAGGCCATGAGAAGGTGGCAGAGCAGCACAAAGACCCTCAGCTTGCCTCATTCCTAAAACGCAGCTAGATCAGCACCAAACCATTTGCACCCTAGGAAATTAATTTGAGGATGAACACAACTATCTGCATGACTTGAGCCACAGAACTCAGCAGGGACACAGTGCAGAGAGGTGAACTGGGAGAGAGAAAAGCTGAGAAGGATAAACAGCTGGGTTTTTTTGGAAAGAAGACAGACAAAGGTGGAGAATGAAGCACATCAGGAGAGTGCAGGAAAAAACACTTCCCAAAAGTAGCAGGAGTTAGAGAGAAAGAAGTGAAAACACTCACAGGGGACTGAACAAGCAACTTGTTCCCCAAAACCACTGATGGGAAGAAAGGAGAGGGTTTCAATACCACCAGGATCCTATAAAACACTGGAGAGCAGAGTCTGACGGTTTGGAGCTCAGTGCTTGGTGGTGTTCTGGTGAGGAAGTAGGGCAAATCCCAAGAAGCAGGCAGCAAGGTCTGAGGGGTCAGTGTGCCACATGGGGAGAAGCAGTTCCCCCCTTGGAAGGCATCTGATAGAAGTCATATGGCTTCACCAAAGGCAAAGATCCCAGAAGACCCCAGAGAGCAGCCATGTTTGCTACTACTGGGACAAAGACACCAGAGTGCGGAGAAACCTGGTTCCGGCTGTGTTGTGATTTGCCATAATCTCTGAAACTGTCACTGCACAATCACATTTTCTGGAGCAAGCTGGCACCCAGCCATTGCTCAGCGAGATCTTGCACCAGAGATTTGGCACAAGTCCAAGCAGCAAGGGCCTCTGGAGTGTGGGGTTTTGAAACGCAACCCCACCTAAGATAAAACTCTGGAGGGAGGTACTGCCTGGCAGGCAGATGGACTGGATATGGACAGGGTAGGGGCAGGGAGTAGAGGGAGGCCTGAGACAAAGGAGGAGGGGTGCTTGATCATGAGTCAGTGAGAATGGGAAGTTCCTATGCCAGAGACAAGGGAGCTGGGTGAAGCCATTTCCACCTCTCTAGCACAAGCCACACTAATCATCCCAGCAAGCTAAGCAGTGCCACCTAGTGAAGAACGGAGTCATTACACCAAGCCCCACCCAACTGCACCCTCCAAGCACATCCCCTAGAAGACACACAAGTCCCTCCCCCTGCTAACTATGG